CATCATGTTAATAACTACGTACTCAATATACATAATAAATTATGTGTAATCAATTATCCATAAATTATTTCAACCATAACTCTAATGGTGGCATTCTGGTTGGTGTCAATTGTTCACTAATGAAAACTCTGGTTAATGCATTTGGGCATAAAGTGCCCACATTTCTAATTACATCCTTTTTTGTTACTGTTGTTGAGATGGAGTCTCACTCTGTCACCCAGGCTGGAGTGCAGTGGTGCAATCTCAGCTCACTGCAAGCTCCACCTCCCAGGTCCAAGCGATTCTCCTGCCTCAGCCTCCCAAGTAGGCATGACTACAGGCATGTGCCACTATGCCTAGCTAATTTTTGTATTTTCAGTAGAGATGGGGTTTCACCATGTTGGCCAGGCTAGTCTCGAACTCCTGACCTCAGATGATCCGCCCATCGTGGCCTCCCAAAGTGCTGGGATTACAGGTGTGAGCCACAGCACCCGGCCTAATTATTTCTTTAAGGCTGAGTTATAAGAAATAACTAGTTTAAATATCAGTATTTTTAAGATTCTTGATATACACATTATTAAACTGTTTGCCAAAACAGCTGTGCTAATGTACACTAGTAAAAACAGAAGTGTCAACTTACTGCATTCCTTCCAACATTGAACATTTTAAAATTATATTCATGAAAATCAACCAGTTCTAGGAGCCGGGAAATCTGAGATCAAGAGGTGGGTGAGGTTAAAAAAAAAAAAGAAAGAAAAAATCAAACTACTCATTTTCATTTGTATTTCCTGGATTATAGTGAAGCTAAATTTTAAAAGTGTTACAGCCATTTGATAACCTTCCTTCATAAAATAAGCAACCTATTTTATTGCCCATTTATTCATTTGGGCCTGAGTGTTATACTTTACTTGAATGTGACCATAATTCATAAAAATTATCTTGTTTGTACCTTTTATTTTTCCTAAAAGTTTTTCTATCACTCTTGTCCTATTAGTCTCTTCCTTTAACATTTCTCCCATTTCCTAGTAAGACCTTCATCCAGAATATAAATGGATCTTCAATTACCAGCCAGGTGTGGTGGCTCACGGCTGTAATTCCAGCACTTTGGGAGGCTGGGGTGGGAAGATGACTTGAGCCCCAGGGTTTGAGACCAGCCTGGCCAATAAAGCAAATCCCAGTCTTTACAAAAAATTTAAAAATTAGCCACGTGTGGTGGAACACATCTGTAGTCTTAGCTACTCAGGAGGCTGAGGCAAAGTATTGCTAGAGCATAGGAATGAGGCTACCTGTGAGCTATGATCATGCCACTGCACTCCAGCCTGGGTAACAAAGTGGAATCCTCTAGAAATAAAATTCAAGTATAATTTCTTGTTACTAAAAAACTTACTTTAGTTTCTTTAAAAACAAAATAATGCAGACACACCATAAAAATCCCAACAGTGCAAACAAGCGTATACCCCAGCCCTCAAGACCTATTATCCTCTTGTGTATGAAGATTTAGCTACCCATCTCCCTTTTTAAAACAGAAAAAAGTGGTAGCAAGCTATACACATGCTTTACTACACCTGACTTTTCTCACTTTAGAAATCTAATTTTATCTCTACACATAAATCAATCTCCTCCTCCATTTTAAAATCAGTAAAACACCCTTTTTTTTTTGGAGACAGGGTCTCACTCTGCACACAAACTGGAGTGCAGTGGCATAATCACAGCTCACTGCAGCCTTGACCTCCCCAGGCTCAGGCGATCCTCCAACCTCAGCTTCCCCAGTAGCTGAGACTACAGGCACACACCACCACACCCAGCTAATTTTTGCATTTTTTGTAGTGACACGGTCTCGATATGTTGCCTAGGCTGGCCTCGAACTCCCAGGCTCAAGTCATCTGCCTATCTTGTCCTTTCAAAGTGCTGGAATTATAGGCATGAGCCACCACACCAGCCAGCAGCAAAACACTTGATTGTATGAATGTAACATCTTCTAATTAGTCTCCTATTGATGGATACTGAGGTGGTTTCCAAACTAGTTACTACAAACAATTCTGTAAGTAATATCCTTGTACACAGGTCCTTGTGTACAAACACAAATATACTTGTAGGATGGAGTGCTAGAAGTGAAACTGCTGAGTCAAGACATGCATATTAGATTATGATAAATATCACCACATTGCTCTTTTTTAAAGTTGTAAGAGTTTACACTCCCACCAAAAAAGTATGAGTCTTGCTTAGAGTAGGATGTCAAGTACTGACTGATCAATGTGGAAAAAGGACTGGAATCAAAAAATACAAATTTTGCAACCATCACAGTAAACATTAGTCCAGGCAAGCACCGTCGATAGATGTTCAATCTAAGGGGAGAGATTTCAGTCAGCAGGATATTTTTATGGTCTTAAAGTGTATCCCAAGATTGCTTAAATACAAAGGGAAAAAACAGTAACCATATGGAAATAAGACAAAAGCTTTATGAACTGACCAAAATAATATCACCATTGAAGGGCAGACAGACTGTATACCTCCAGATGTGACACCCTGAAAAACACACATCACTTATGTTATATTCCACCCAAGACTGCACAATCTAAATTTAATCATTAGGAAAGAACAGATAAACCCAAGTAAGGCATAGCCTATTAAGAAATGAAAAGCAGGACAAGGTTGTGTTCACAAAAATATCAATGTCACCGGAAATAAAGAAAAGCTGAGGATCTCATGTAGCTTAAAGAATACTACAGAAATACGCAATTAAATGCAGGTCATAATTCTAGACTGGATCGGGGAAAAAACACTAAGAAGGATTGGGTCAATTAACAAAAATGGAATCTGAATAGTGTATTGTTATTACAGATTTGTTGAAGTTGATAATTGTGCTGTGGTTCTGCAGGATAGTGCCCTTTTACTTTGGAGAAACACACTAAAGTGTCACGGGGAAGAAGGCTGTAATGGGCACAACTTACTAACAGGTCAGGAAAAGACATACATACATACATGAGAGAGAGAGTGAGCAGGAGCACATGCATAAGTGAAAAAAGCAAATGGGACAGTATGTTAACAGTAGCTGAATCTGCATACGAATTATATGTTCTTTGTGCTGGTTCCCATAATTGCTGTTAATCTGAAATTATTCCCCAATAAAAAGTTCTAAAAAAAGACTAAGAAGTGGGAAATAATGACCGCTCATATTCATTGACACACACACATACATACACACAGAGTATATGAGTGCCTGTTTTCCCATCTTCATCAATCTTACTATAAACAATTTCTAATCTTTGCCAACAATGGGTAAAAACATGGTATTTCAGTTTTAATTTGCATTAAAGTGAGATTAAGCATCTTACATTTAAAGGCCATTTTATTTTCTGTAAACTATCTTCTTTTAATTTTTTATACTGAACACATTTCAGCTTTCTGAAATTTTGATATGAAATGATAAAGTAACTTTCAAGGGTGCCAAGCAATTGTTCACGCACTGTTATTCAAGGAATCCTCTCTGCCCACTGATTCTGATGTCCTTTTAGTTGTACTTTGAAAATACTAGTATTTAAAATAATCTGCATTTCTCTAACTCAAACTAATCTTTTTAAAATTCTATCCAAATGAATAAAATTTTCCATAATGATATATCAATACAATATGCAAATAACCAATGACTATATAAAAAGTGGACACTATTTCAAACAACTCACAAAGCCATACGGCCAGGAACGGTGGTTCACGCCTGTAATTTCAGAACTTTGGGAGGCTGAGGCAGATGGATCACCTGAGCTCAGGAGCTTGAGATCAGCCTGGCCAACAGAGTGAAACCGGGTCTCTACTAAAATACAAAATTAGCCAGGCGTGGTGGTGCACACCTGTGATCCCAGCTACTCGAGAGGCTGAGGCACAAGAATAGCTTGAACTCAGGAGACAGAGGTTGCAGTGAGCTGAGATTGCCCCATTGTACTCCAGCCTGGGCAAAAGGACTGAAACCCCATCCCCTCCAAAAAAAAAAAAAAGCCACACCTTCAAATATTGACAAACATATTGAGTATACATTTAATTATTCTCACATACATAGTATAAACTGAGAAAAGTTTTACATACTATACACTGAATCATTGTTGGATCCTAAGAAATTTATTCTGGACCAGTAACAGCACTAAAAAGAAACATCGGTCTCAACAGAAGAATTTAACAAAAATAGTTATCAACAATTTCAAATGCTATCACGTTTTCCCTTATACAATTCTTTTTTTTTGTAGTCCTAGGTTGAGATGCAATTCCCTGAAAATTATCAGCATCCGAAAGCTTATTTTTTACACTAAAGGGGAAAAAAATCTCTAAAACTTAGACAAACCAAAGGAAAATGTCTATACCCTAAAATATTCATGTCTTTGCTCTCCTTAGCTCCCTTTTTGTATTATAATTTCTAACAGACTGGAGGACAAGGGCTGTCTCTTTCATTTTTCTCTGGGAATCCCCACAACCTCCAAAAACAGTAGTCTGCACATACGGATACTCAGCGTAACGGTACTGACAGAAAGAACATATGCTAAGATGAAAGCCCTTTCTTGGAGAGAACTGAATTACTTTACTCAATATATCTGTAAATGGCAACAGCATTACTTTTAAAAACTGTTTTTAAATATACATATAGACGAAAGTATGTATCACAAGATCATTTAAATACATCACAGTGAATAAGGTAGTCAATGAACTTCAGAAATTCTTTTTTTTTTTTTTTTGGAGACAGTCTCGTTCTGTTGCCCAGGCTGGAGTGCAGTGGCACAATCTCAGCTCACTGCAACCTCTGCCTCCTGGGTTCAAGCAACTCTCATGCCTCCTAAGTAGCTGGGATTACAGGTGCATGCCACCACACCTGGCTATTTTGTGTATTAGTAGAAACAGGGTTTCACCATGTTGGCCAGGCTGGTCTCAAACTCCTGACCTCAGGTGACCTGCCCACCTTGGCCTCCCAAACTGCTGGGATTACAGGCATGAGCCACCACACCTGGCCAAGGAAGTCTTACATTACAAAATCTTACCTCTTCAAAAACAGCAGCTTTATTTACTTTTTCCCTTGCAATGTCACAGATTTTCAAGATTCCCAGAGCAAAAGCCTTCATAGCAGGATCTTCTATAAAGTCTGGATTATGAATGTAAAGGCACGTAAATACTGTCTGTGCCAACGAATGGCCTTCTAACCATGTTATCTATAAAGAAACAAAACAGTATATATTTAAGGTGATAAAATTGAGTCTGCAAAGTCTAAATTGATCCTAGAGTCAAAGGCCAGAAGCACCATAGACCCAGATAAGATTAATCACAAGACTTAAAAAAAAGACAAGTTAGAATTCCTTTCATTGACTAACATTTTTCAAGCATCTATGGGAATCACTGTCGTATGTACATCAGTTTGCAACATATTAGAGATTAATGAAATTAAGACTGCCTCTTTATGTAGCATCCAAAAGAAATCAGGTCCACAATGTAGTCAATAAAAAAATCCATAAACTGGAAAATTCACAATTGTAGAACTAACCAGATCCTTAGACACTCATCGAACTTCATAATCCTTACCACCACAACCCAGCCAACACCATATCTCACCTAGATTATCGGAAGAAACTAGAAACTAGACAGGTTTTCCTGCCTCCCATCTCCAATTTAATACCCCCAAGTAGAGATCTTTCTAAAACACTAAGAGAATCATTTTATACTATTTTACTGAGTGACCACTATATGTCTGGCACCATGTACTAGAGGTTGGGAATACCAACAACAGGCAAAATTGGGTAAGTACTGTGTCCCAAATATTATGTTAGGTTATTTTCAAATATCATGCTAGGTTATTTTCAAATATCTCTCATTTTTTCCTAGCACTTTGAGAAAGGTGGTATTTTTCTCCTTTTACATGTAAAGAAACAGAGTAAGAGTTTAAATCATTTGCCCAAGTTTATAGTTATTTTTACACTAAAGCCCAAGAATTCTGCAACAGAGTAAGACATATGCTACTGCATCACAAAATGACAAATGTTTGTGGAAAACTTGTAATTAAGGTGTGTATTTGGTATTAACTACTGTGCAGAAGAGAGACTTTACAGACTAAAAACCATCTGCCTTTTAAAGTCCAAATTTTTAAATACAGTCCCAAGAGTCTCAAAGAATAGTTCCTCAACTTTGGCAAAAATCCTCCCTCTGTTTACCTTTCCCTCCTTCTCCACCACTCTCCACTTATCCCACACTCCTCCCACTTGGCTCACTGCCAGACTTCAGCCTTAAGCAGCTATCTATGATTTTCCAAAATGAACATTTTCACATTGCCATACCCATGCAATATACCTCTTTGCCTACTAAACCATGAATCTTCCTGTCATACACCTACCATTCTTTAGTACCTCATACCAATATTACTTCCTTTCTACAGCCTTTCTTACTCTCCCAGACATAATTAACTCCTCCTCTCTGTTCCCACAGCACCATTATAAAAGCATTTTCATGTTGTCAGAATTGTTTATTCACATGTCTGTTCCCAGCAATCCTTTGACTCTTTTCTTTACTCCACCCACTAGGACTGTAAACTGCTAAAAGGTAATAAAGAAATCTTTGAGGGGGTAAAGAGACAGCTTTGAAAGATGAAGGATCAGGATTAAGATTCTGGCAAGGGCCCTCCCAAGCAACATAACCATAGACAGTAAGATAGTACGGATACCTAATAAAGCTCATGTAAAACATAAGTGAAAACTGTACATATAAAACAACTAATACAACTACACACACTGGCAATCAATCAATAAACGCTGAATGAACAAATGAATAAATTTTACGTATTTCTAAGGACAATGATTTAATGTCAATTTAAAAGAAAGGGATGGTCAGAAAGCAGGGGGGAGAGGAAAGCAGTACAAATGAGAATTTCTCCACACACAATACTTTCCAGGGAAAACATAATTCAGCATATACAAATCACTAAAAAATTTTCTTCCCAGGAGATGGCCAGTTTACCACAATTTATCCTAGATTAGAAAAAATCTCTCCAAAGCCATTGTCTAGCTCTCTTTTGTTTCGATTCCACGCTTATTTATGAAACCTTCCAATTACAGACTTATTGCTTGAGTAACTTGAGAACGAAAAGGGTATTATGAACAATGGCTACAATACTATCTTCACTGAAAAGAAAATATCCCTTCACTCAGAAAATTAAAATGTAAAATCAAGTAGATGACAAGATGAAATCCTATTACCAGGCCTGCCAATCTTAGGCACATCTTTACTAGGCCAAGTATTACATTTATTTCATACTCAACATTAGTGTATAGGCTTTTAAATCACAAGATTCAGGTAAATCACAGTTTTTAAATTAACCAATAGTCTTAATTCCATTCTTACCAAACAGCAAAAACATGTATCCATAATCCCTATCAGTTCAGGCAAGGTGAGATCTTTAATTTTAATAGTGCCATCCTAAAAAGGAGGAAGAATGTGACATATAAGCAGAAATTTTTTTAAACATGGTTACTATGTATAGTAGCATTCTGGATTTCTAACATTCAATATTTAAAAACAGCAATTCTAAGAAAATGCTATCTATCATCTGATAAAACTAT